TATATAAATAAGAGAGATGTTTAATTGACATTTTAACTTAGGATGACTTGCATACATTGCTTTAAACAGTTTTATCATTGTGCCCGTTACTTTACACAATTTTATCACCTTACATAATTTTTTTAAAAAGTTATTCATATTCTAGTCAAATATTTTACTTTTGAAATCGCAAGCATCAAATATCATAAGATTAAAAAAGTTTTAAATTAAACAAAACAAAAAAAAAATTACTAAATTTTATGCAAAAATTTATTTTTTCTTTTTAATGGCTTGCTCTTTTTCTTTAGGTATTCTGCAAGTATATTAACCCATTAGCCGCTGGTGTTGCGTTGATGCAACGGTCAAAATAAATGCGCATATAAATACAACTACCTCAGATACCGTATTTGACGGCATATAAGACATATCCCTTATTTAGAAAGCCACACACAAGGAAAAAAGTTTCAATAGTCCGCATGGTACCACAATAACTTAAAATGTGGTTTCTTTTTCTTTCATCCATATTTCCTATTTGACCGAGCTCAAAAGAAGCTTTCTTGCGTGCATTTATAACAAACCTATGAAATGCTAGTATTTTTTCTGCTGGCATATAATCTGCTGGCATTTTCTGTGCAATAGTTGTTTTTGTGCGCATTGATAAGCCTTGCCTTTTCATGAACCTGTAGCATCAGCCCTCAGACCCTGAAAAGTTCTGATTCCCACATTTTTCTGCAAATCCTTTGGCCTCATTGATTATCATTTTGGTTGAAACACTTATCCCATATTTCCTCTTATCTATCACCCACATTTTTTACGGCATTTTCAAATTCAGGCCAAGATGGAGCTGGGCATCGAAGGTTATGGTTTTGTTTTTTAACAGTCTTCAGTTTATCTTCTGCAGTCGCCAAGTACGTTATCATTTTTTCGGTAGGTGGTGGACCGAAATGCCTTGCTGCTGCTCTGTTTCCATGCACTTTGGCGTAGTTTAACACTCCTAGTTTATACTGAATTGTATAGCTTAATCTCTTGTTTCCTGTAGTCATACTTTCCAGGGTAATTTTTTTAAACAAATAGTTTCAAGCACCAATACCGACACGTTTATACAGAGTAGCACCGATACCAACATGTGTGTCGGCTGAGTCAAAGAAAGTCTATGTAAAGAAGGAAAGGCTCCATAGACGTAATGTGACCGTCGAACCTGTTCGAACTTCAACATCAGCTTCGAGCTTTGGCGCTTTTTGGCGACAGATAGTTCACGCACGAGCAAAGTATTTATGGCAGATGTAAAAAAAGTTACGTGTGTCTAGACCTTTATCCGGGCTAAAAATAGCATTCAGTATTGAAAGTTAACCTGTGTCCTTCACGTATAAGACGCAGGTAACTTTTTTTAGACCAAATTTAGGAAAAAAAGTGTGTCTTATATGCCATCAAATACGGTATTTTTTATACCAGCAGATGATTTTGTGTACAGGAATATTATGAAGATTATTTCTTTAAAAAAATATTTGCCTTCAACAACCATTTTGTTTATAATAATTAATCTCATACTTTAAGCAAAATTTTGGATCGGGTATTTTTGCCACAAATATTTAACGAAAGAATTGCCGTCTTAACGAGTGATCTATTTTTAGTCAAGGTCACTGTTTATCAGGACATTACATCAATCAGATGTTTATATTTGTGTTGGGAAGGAAGGGAAAATAGGTGTTGCACTAACGCAACGTCAGCAGGAAACGGGTAATCTCCATTTTTACTCAATCCTTCCGATGTTCGGGTTCATGTTCTGGCTGCTTTAAAAATGCTTAGAACAAGGTATCTTATATTAGAAGAAGCCCTTCAAAGATTTTTTGACGAAGAAACAGATATGATAATGTTAATAACGAACAGTTCTCCCAGAAATTGCAGAAGCTAGTGATGAAGAAGGGAATGACAATGTTTTGGTGGTGGCCAATATTTACTAATCACATTGATGTAGCCTTGCTAAATGCATGGAAAATATCACGACTTTCTACTACTGGAAATAAAAAGTCTGCTTTAGATTTCAGACATGTCATTCCTTTTGCAAACTTCTATTGAGAGTGTAGAATTAGTTAGAAATAGATCAGCAACAGGAAGACCTAGTAAATTCAACATTTAAAAACCACTGCATGGAGATGGTAGACATTTTATCATAAAGCCCGATGATAACAAAAGACTTCGTTGTAAAGAGTGCCATAGCCAGACTGTTTATAGATGGCAAAGTATGTAATGTAGCTTTACATCATGATTGTAGTGAAACTTTTCATGTTTGAATCTTTCAATTGAAATAATCTGTATTTGTAAAAGAAATATAATGTATATTTTTATATTAAATTAATTACAAGTAAAGTGATTTGTAGCTTTATAAAACATTATACAGCTAAAAAGTAATCCAGTGCTCCACTCAAAGGAAACATTGCACGAGTACAATCTTACTTACTAAACATCCGAAGTCTTATTCCGCTGACGTTGCGCTAATACAACACTTGTGTTTGCCACAGGTAAGAGCACTTTTTTAATTATCAATGTAAATTTATGTTATAAATGCTTAATTTAATATTTGTTATTATTTTCATGAGAGAAGAATCAGTCCTTGTAGTTTTGGCGGTTAATAGGTTAAAAAGCATCCAACTTTTCGAAACATCTTGGTATTCCTGACATTCATTTTAAATAAAGTCATTGCCTTCCACTTCCTAAAGGCCCGCAAACAGTTGCATTTTCGTGGTTTTTCTCATGTGTAACATGTATGAAAGCTGGTTTTCCTTAGAAAGTTCTTTGCAAAGGCATCCTTCCTTTTAGACAGATAGCCCTGCTTTGCCTTAATTTAATAATCCAATTCGATCCATTTCATCAGGATTTGGTCAGAGCCTTTATCAGTCTCTAGTGACTAAGCATTTTGAAGGCATGAGATGAAAGGAAGACTGGTTTCATCAAGAAGGAAAACGTCTTTAGATGATATCCACATATCTTTTAGATACATTAGAATTTTTTGGAAGCAGGAGACTTGAAAAATTAGCACTGCCCTCGCTGAAAATCGAACCATGGACCTCTCGAATATGTGCCAAGTGTGCAGACCACTACACCACGAAGGCGCACTAAGAAAGCAGGAGAAATACCTTAATATACTCCCTCTTTTTAAAGGACGACTGGGGTTTAGTGGATGCAGTCACAAAATCCTGGTGGTGAAGAATCATCATTCACCACCTTTTAGTTCGGGGGCCACTGTAGAGACGTTAGGTATTTTGGGGGGGAGCAGGGGAAATGAAAAATGAAAAATGCCCTTGCCGGGAATTGAACCATGGATATTAAAATATCAGTGGCATCAAATATGTTTCAGCTGAAGACAGCTTTTCATTTTCTAGACATTTTAACTATAAATAAAGTTTAAGAAAAATCCAAGAATAAATATTTAAATTAAAAGATTTTTGTTAAATGGGAAAGAAATAAATCACTCCAGCAGCACTTATCCTCTACCACTGAGTGGCCCGATTTTTATATCGGGTGCAAACAATCTAAATCATATTATTTAGAGTTTTTAAGCATAATAATTTCTATATTAAAGAACATTTTTTTTTTTTTTATAATCTACAATATGAGAGAAAATTACTACTTAAAACATTCTTTCTAAGCGAATTAATGTAAAAATTTATATTTATATATATATTTTTTACAGCTGGGACATGACACACACTATCAATGTCCTGTTTGCTTAAAAACATTGTGAAAATAAACATCAAACGAACTTTCTCAGTTTTAGACAATTCAATTTAAATGAACTTAAAGTAAAGTAGCAGATGATAACACGGCGAAGGTAAAAATTTACTCTTACAAATATTTTTTTTAAAAGGGGAGAAAGAAAGAAATTTAAAAAAAAATTTTTGAATTGAATAATATCATCTGTAATTTTTTTTAAAAAATAGCTTTTCATACAGTATTAATAAATATTTATTATGCATCATTGAGGGGGAAAAAATCATACAATTAATTCTCCATAAAAATTTGTTTGAAATTTAAGGATAAAAATAGCTGTGGCAATTCTCTGTAACAAAACCCATAACTACATTTGGCGTTATTATCACTAAAAAAAAAGATGCCAAATTTCAAAACGTGAAAATACATAAATTCATGTATATCTTACAAAATCTTGAATAAAATAACTCTATTTTTTTGCAGGTATGCTTAGAAATACACCTACTCTAAGATGATGGTAAAAACTTTATAGATTATAATTCAAAACTGTTTTCGAAAAATTTATAAAAATTATCTAAAAACACAAATTTAAAAAATAAATCATAAAAAATGGGTGAATTTTATTTGGAATGAACATTAATTTTGAAATGAAAAAGGAAAAATCAAAAACATTTCATAAAAAAGAGATATTAATAAATATATATATACCAAATTCAATCAACATTGAGAAGCTAAAATTTTGAGAGCTAATGTTTTAAAAACTACTAATGCGTTTTTTGCAAAAATTGGCTGTCTGGCATAATTTAAGTCGCAGAATCGAAATACGTAAAAAAAAATTGTGTGTTATTTCAGAAAAAGTACGATTTTGTGTCAAAATACCTATGTTAGAATAGTGCTATATATAAATCTAATATATATCCTAAGTCGCGCTTTTTCATACATACGAAGAACGCAATTTGAATTTCATCAATAGGCCCAGTAGAACAGCAGATATAGAACTGTCCCCTTTTTTTCTTTTTTCTTGCACAGTGTACATCTATACTCCATTTAAATACAAGAACATCTGCATCAAAAGTTTCCACTACCAGCATATGAAAGTCATATAAATCTGATAATAAAGAAAACGTATTACTTTAAAGAAAAATTAAAACCAGTTTGAATTCGGAAATGGTGTTATCTAAATTAGGAGACATTATTTTATGCATATCACACAAGAGAAAAATTTCTCACATAAAAGCTCTCGAATTACAAAGACTGAAAATATAAGATAAAAGTTATATAAATTAAATACAACACAAAAATGCTAATCTTACTTGCGTTTCCTAAAAAAGAATTTCCCCAGCAACTTAGGTAAGACACCTGCAATTTTATTATCAGCTAAAAACACATCATATGCAGCTACTAACTGTCGTTTGGCTTCATATGCTTTATATTCTGTTCGGAGCTGTCGCAATGGAATCACCTGCAACACAAATTATTACTTCGATTTGAAAGAATTTATTATATAGCATTTTAAGTTTTTATATTAAAGCAGGCAAAAGCTTAATTGTCAAAATACAGGCAAATTTTGATGATTCATAAGCACTTAATTTACAGTATGCGCCACTTATTAAACTCACCAGTTAATAAAACTAGCTGCTTATTACACGAGTGGATCACATAAAAATGGATCAGTAGCCACAAAATGAAAAGGTATTCATTTTCAAATGTAATCACCAAAATTACATAAGTTATCCTACTGTTACACCAAGTGGTGAATACCTCATTCATAGAAAGAATTTGGCTAACATTGAAACCGGTTTCGAACTGTATCCATGCCTTCGCTGTTCGAGTGTGGATCAAATAAAAATGAAACAATGATCATAATTTGATATTTTTACATGACTGTCACAAAAACTGTGTGGAAGTGCAAGTGGTAAGAAAGACAACCCCTACTGCGGAATGGACTTGCCTTAGATAATCGTGCAGAACCACATGATATGCGTTGGCAAACAGCCAAAAGCTTCAAGCAGGCAATCATTTGTCATTTCATCCACATCTGCATAATGTTTGTGACTAAGAAAGAGAGACATGGCATTTACTCAATTTTTTAGCATCAGAAGGTGTTGGAGTTCGAGAAGTGGATCAGCGAATGAAAACAGTGAACGGAGAACACTCACTGTCACTGACTTATATGCAGGAGTGGCACCATGAGGGACGGGAATCTTTGAAAGGTGATCCAAGAACTAGTCAAAGTCACCTCATCAGTACAGTAAAGAAAATGTGGACTTAAAGTGCATATGAATTACTGCATATTATAGTCATGCATATTATAGACTATGCATATGATAGTCAATACAAGCAAAGGGCATACATATTTTAAAGCATGGCACAGTGTTGAAAATATGGCTTTTATTTAAAAGAAGCCTTATAGAAACTGCATGCTACAGCCAACATCTCAATGTCAATGAAGGAAGTTAAATGATTCATTTTTATAATTATTTAATGAGATAACTCGTATTAGCACTCTTCTTGAGGATGCCCAATATGAGTTATCTCGTAGTTTCTTGACTTGCTACTTATGTGCAGCTACAAGTTCAGGGTTCATACACATTTCTGCACATGGAAATCAAGTACTTTTAAGGACCATTAATGAAAAAAATTAAGGACCTATGGGCAAATGGGAACTAAATAAATTCAATTAAAAATATTATCTATGCCTGAATTTCACTTTTGTAATACTATCCTAAAAATAAAATAGATCCTTAAGTTAATTGTTGTGATTGATGATCATGCTGAGAAAATATGTGAAAACACAGACTACACTATTACATGTTAATGATAAAAACATTTTAAATGAGCTGCAGAAATAACTGAATGCCAAAGTGATATAAAAGAAAGAGATGATTACCAACCCCAACTAAGTAAAAAAAATTCTAAGTAAAACTGAAAGGCGATAACCAAACTGAAAGATGATCAATAGAAAAACTACCAGCAGTTTAACAACTTTAAAATAAAACTGAAAAACTGTTAATGAACAAAGCAAAATAAGCACAGATAGATAGGTCCATACTTTGCGAAGCTTAATATTTCATAATGTGCATAATTAATTATAAAAGTAAATTTTAAAATTACACAAGTAGTCATTTTTAATTATTATTGTAGGTTTTAATGATTAAATTAAATGTTATTACCTTAATAGATAAATTTAAAGATCATTTCACAACATAAAATACATAAATCGATGTTTATTAAACTTAGCTGTTAAATAATCTAAAACATGCCTGCAAGAGGAAAGAAAGATTTTAATAAGTGGCAGGTATTGTATTTCCATTTTTAAAATGAAAATACAGATATCATCAGGGATTTCAGTTACTATGCTTGTCATTTTGAAGCCAATCAAAGAAATAAAGTTATGTATACTTAAAAATTTGTCCTTTTGGATGATTTATATAAAGAGGTTAAGCATTATGGTACTTTATGAAACTCTTAAGATACTTGTTTATGTCATGGTAACAAAAGCTAAAACATTTTGGTAAAAAATCCGAAAAAAGCATTTTTAATAATTTGAAAAAGTACATGGAACATCACAAAAAATAGAAATTGACAAATGAAGTTAATTTTAACATGTTGACTGCCCAACATGAGATAACTCGTATTAGCGCTCTTCTTGAGGATGCCCAATATGAGTTATCTCGTAGTTTCTTGACTTGCTACTTATGTGCAGCTACAAGTTCAGGGTTCATACACATTTCTGCACATGGAAATCAAGTACTTTTAAGGACCCTTAATGAAAAAAATTAAGGACCTATGGGCAAATGGGAACTAAATAAATTCAATTAAAATATTATCTATGCCTGAATTTCACTTTTGTAATACTATCCTAAAAATAAAATAGATCCTTAAGTAGTATGCATTATTACTAAACATGAATAAATTAACATAATTATTAATAAATTTGAGAATAAAATAAACTTCATGCAATTTATCAAGTAGCATTAAATATTTTACACTTATAATAGTTGGACATATTTGAAAGAAAATAAGTGACATTTATGTTTTACTAACAGTTAGCTTTATGTTGATTTTTTTTATGTCTCATTTTATCACATACTTGGTCAGTCTAGAGGTTTAGTAAATAGCAGGTAGATTTTATGTCAAATGGCATAGGTTAAAATGAGAAGTAAGATCATAATCAGCATGATTCATAACAAAACACTGAATGTTGTCACTGCTGCAGCTTGTCTGGAGAGAGACCTGCTGATTAGAATCTGAAAGGCTTGATGTTGGCAAGTGTTGAAAGTTTAGTCAGGCTCTGTTGGATGCAGTTAGTGTCATAGCTTCGTGTAGAGTTCCAGGGGTTGTAACCCAGTTAATATACTTTAATGTTCCAATAAGCCATTAAAGCACCAGAGATGATAAGTTTTTTTGTATTATTTTAAGTCTCACTTAGATGCAAAGAATAAGTTTTACTCGAATTTTTACATTTTTGTGTTTTATCTTGTGACCACAGTGAGTCTTAATGAAGGGCAATAACTCACTTGAATATGTAGAGATAATTTTTAAGGGTAAGCAGTTAGTTATAAATAATTAAATTAGGTAGTTAGATAACCTTAGTCATTATGCACATGGCCACTATTAAATTTTATTTTTTAACATTTGTTAAAAAAGCCCTATTAAAATCAAAATCTCATAAAATTTCACAGTTTAAAAAACATGTAATTTATGATATTAATTCTTAAACGATATTAGGATAATTGCACATTAAAAGCTACAAAACAATTATGTTTTATAACAACGCCAATCAACAAAATATTTATCCATCATTTTTAATTTGAAGCCTTCCCAAACATTTTGGCTCGTTTATATCGATTTTGTTCTCTCTAAGCATCTTTTTTAACAATTAGAGATTTGTCTCAATATGCTAACCAATGCTCTTGATAGTTTCTGTGTGCTTTATCTCCTAACTTGTCAACCTCTCCACAATGTACCTATGAGGGTTTACTTGATCTGGTAAAAGTTAAATAGTCCAAAAACCTCTGACAGACGTGAAGCAAATTATCGCTATGGCTGAAAGTAACTACAATATCAGACAAAGGTTTAAATAAACCTCTTATTTAAAAAGAACTTGGAACATAAAGGCATGTTCTGATGCTAACAAAATCAATTACAGCTCATGGTGACATAATTATACAAAAACAGTCAAATTCAAACTAAAAATGTGGATTAGTGGTCACAGATTATACAATTTAATTTAAATTTAATCTGGCTCAGTAACTTTATCATAAGAGGAAGCAGAAATGGGAAACTATAATAAAGGTTGAAATCATAAACACTTGGGTAATTTACATAATAATAACTGTGCATGTTTTTGAAGAATAACTTTCTTTATGTATTCAGTTTCTTTCTTCAACACGTTTCCTTTCCATTTTGGAATTTTTGGATTTAATTAAGGATTTCTGTTATCCTAAAACACACTAAATGGATTTAGAATGTTTAGAAAAAGTGGCTAACTTTATTTCTTTAGTAATATGAACATTCAGAAGAAATATGAAATATATATGGTAAAGGGCGGTTACAGAATTTTTAGAATTTAGTTGCACACCGAACCACAAAATCTAGAAATGGCAAAACTTTTAGAATTTAGAGCAGGCATTAGAAGCAGAATTTAGAAAGGCATTATGCAGCAGAATTTGGAATCCACAGAGATTGCATCAGGTGGTAAAATGTCTAGTGCCAGCTCTGTATATGATGCATTAAGACATATTAGATGAATCTTTTAAATTGTAAGTTTTCAATTTCTTTATTAATAAAAAAATCCCTTTCTATAATGCCATTTTTAACATATCCGACTACGTTCGATACCCTAATTTTGAAAGTGTACAAATAAATTCATTTTTGGTGTTACTTAGCAGAATGCTACCTAAAATGATAGAAACAGTTTATAAACATTTTATTAAAATGTAATTTTTACTTTTTTCTCACATTTTGGATAAAAAATGTATTCAAATTTAAGTATCACGAGATTAGTTCCCTAAAAATTATTTATCAATATTTTACTTTTATTTTTTTCACTTATATTTATTAAAGCATAAGGAATAAAATGGCCTAAAATCTAAGTCATAAAGCAAAATGTCTACTAAATATACCTGTTTGAGTACATACGCTATTTTTCAAGAAATTTTTATCTCTTCATTTACAAAATTGTCGGCAAAAATCTTAAATATGTACATAAACCTAAACTTTTAGTCCATTTAATTTCCAATATTCTATAGAATATTTGTGGAAAGTATCATAAAATTGCTATAATAATAGTTTAAGTTACGGTGTTTTTCATATTAGAAATGTTGACAAAAACAAGTTTTTCAAAAAACAAATTTAAAGTTTTATCTTTAGAAAATATATTAGAAATTGATATATTACATTGCTAAAAGTGGCCTGTTTTGTATATTGCATCTTCTGTTAACTCTATTTTAGAAGATT